AAAATTAAGTTTCAAAAATGAAGTTTCTTACGCATTTGAGAGATTCATTTTACCAAAAGACCACCGGTCATGATCAATAATAAAGAAACGAGAGCTTCCTTACACCAAATTAAATCTTTTCGAAAACTTCTCTTGGATGGTCTTCAATTATAATGTCGGAAGCAATTTTGAGAGTGAAGTTCGAAGCATGAAGACATGACACGACAGGTAAAATGATTGTAGTTTGCTTCTATAGAAATAGGAAAATATTTTAATGCTACAAAATGTTCAAATTTCATTCAGTTTTCACCTGGTCTGTGTAATTTTTTAATCTCGGATTTGTACATAATTTATGTCACGATTTCCCTACTTCCAAAAGTATTTCGGTCATCTCCGTTGTTCATTCATTTTTTATGAAGTTTATCTGGTGGCTCAAAAGTTTAATTTGCTTTATAATCTTTGAATTCCGTTGATCATGAAATGAAATTAGTCATCTATGACTTTCCAGCTGTGCTTTTCAATCATTGAACTGATAAGTTTTTGAGTTCAACGTGTTTTGTGGCTTTTACAGCATAAATTTCATTATTGATTAGTAATTTGCCACAATCCGATTAGAGTTTTCTTAATTACACATGATTAAACTTCATTAAAGGATTAATTAATTTTCTATTAAATTTAAGCTCAAACTTATCTAGGAAATAAATTAGCTTCTAAATGCTTAAGAGTCAGAAAATTATGCAAAGCTATTCAAAGCTCAGGTATTTCATTTATGTATGAAACTCTTATTAAACATTTGAAATTGGAATGTGTAAGAGTTGTAAACGTTTGCTTTGAACAGAAATGTCCACAAAGACCACAACAAATGCCTGTTTGACTCACAAATCATAGCAATTTCATGCTACTTGAAGTGACTGAAAACATTTCATAAATTTTTCTTCTTCTCTGCTTGTAACAATGTTCATCAGTGAAATCTATACTTCAACGAGCATATAAATCACAATTCAAGCGATTATTGTTATTTACGCCACCTTTCATGTTTTTTTAGGGAAATCAAATTCATTTATATCACGAGATATGAAACGAAACTTGTTCTATTTTGCTGTGAACTAGATAGTTCAATAGATCATCATTAAAGTTCTTCATTGAAATTGATATGTTGGTAGTAATGTAATTTAATTTGTATTCATCGGCTTTTAAGCGTGATTTATTGTGAAACCTGAAACATTTTTCCAATTGTGAATTAAGCTATTGTGATTCTTCTACTGAGAATAAAAAAAAAGTTACGTGCTGCCATGATTAATTTGAGATTTAACAACCGCAACTTTAGACACGTGTTCATGATATGAATGAATGAATGAATATCTTTAAACTTTTGTCTCTCTCAAGTGATTTTAAGATAAACATCTCGAAGATAATCCAATTAAAAATCTTTCGAATCTCTGATTTAATAAGTCGTTAATTATATCAATTCAATTCCATATTCATCGATTATTAATGTTTTCCGTTTGCTATCAAAATCCATGTTAAAATCAAAGAAACATTTCGAGAGAAATTAATAATTTCAAATGATGGCGCAAAAATTATAAATAACGAATTAACGAAGTTTCTTCATTATATTTGGGATGTTAGGATATGTTATGAATGTTTCTTAATAAATTCATATCAATATCAAATATAAATGTGTTTCACATCATTTGTTGATGATCAAATTATGAATATTTATTTAATGAATAATTAAAATTTCAGCAATCTGAGAACGTGAAACAAGAAATATAATCAATAAATTCTCAATAAAAGACAACAGGTGATTAGTGCGGCGGGGGTTTAAAGGAATCCCTTGAAGTCAAGTTAGATTATCACAGACGCCACGCTGTGTTTTGGTTAAAGGAAACTCACCCAGCCTTGTTAATGTTTTATTTTCGAAAATCCAAAAAATCTTTGGAGAAGATTTCATTTTGTTTTAATTATCACACATGTCGTAAACGTTGTGAAAGCGACATTAAAAACCTTTTCGGTGTAAGATGATTTATAAAATTTATAGGATCAAACATTCGATCGTTAAATCTAGGGATTTATAGGCCGTGGCTTAAGCCGATCGTAAAATTTTATTTCAAGCGCCTACGCCACTGAAACTTACCTTTCGCTTTATGATAAAATTATTGTTGTTAAATACATTAACAAAACCAATTATGAAACGTCTATTTTTTATTTGTGTTTCAAACGAGTGAAGATTCATTACAATAAATAATAAAATCGTAAAACTTATGATTAATTTATTAGGGAGATGGTCATAAATTTATTGCTTTACGATCATAAAAGAACTTTTTTTACTTCAGCGTCATGAGATTCTAGGGAACTTAAAAGGTTTTCGAAACTTTATCGATGTGGTGTTCGTTAAGGTAAAAAATAAAACAAATATTTTGTAGACAAATTGTTTTTATATTTGATATAATTTCCATTAAGGGAAGGTTTGGAAATGACGTCATGTTAAGAGTTCAATGAAGTAGTTGAAAAGAAACAAACTAAAAACTTCAGTTGCGTGATGAATTGATCTTCGTCGTAATGATCTTGAACTTTAACATCATTGATGACCACACCTTCAACGAGAACTTCCCTACCTTAATCAACATGATACACGTGAAACGATATTTCTCTTGGCAACTGTTGTTCTTTAACTTGATTAGCTTTAATTGATTTTAGAGTCAATTATTTTCAATTAAAAGACAAGAACAAAAGACTTTGAATAAAATTGACTGCAAGCAGCACATGATCGGCGTTAAGAAGGATGTTTGAATGTTTTATTTGTATTATTGTTTAACAAGCCATCTGCCTTTAATTCTCTTATGACTTCACAATCCAAGTTCAACATAGAAAGCATAAAACTATCAAAACACCATAAGAAGAAGTAAATCATCAAATACAATCAATAACTATTAATTAATTTTCAATTCGGCAAGAACTTTACCGCTGCTTTGTTGATTTAGCTCATCGAAAAATATCTTTTATTCAATATGAAACAATGAAGAATCGTTCTTGTTAAATTTATGGTCAATTTGAACGATTCTTGATGGATTTCTCTGTTGCTTGTTGTTTTCTTCCTTCTTTTCTTTCCTCCTGCATTTATGGAATCGACTGAAAACTGCCACATAACTCATGTCCCGTTCAAGCCCGAAAAGTTTCTTTAAATACCTTTCGGTATGGTTTTCCATTGTGTATTAATGAAACAAGTTAATTGAAATTTATTTTATGATGCCTTCAACGTTTCTTTTCGCCTTCCTTGCTCGTTCTTTTACTCATGTCTTTCGAAATCAACCAAACTAAGAAAAAGCAGAAAAAGAAGAAGGAGAAAAAATATGATTAAAAATTAATTTCACTTTGTGTCTTGATTGTTTTTCATTTATTTTAATACGCTTCACGACGGATGAAAATTGGAGATATTAGAGCTTTATTAATTTTAATTAATTTCTGATTTATGTAAATTATTGTGATGAAGTTTGCGTTTTGCAATCCTTCCTTTTATTGATTTCATCGAGCTATTAATCAAGCGACTTACCTTTTAAAGCACCACAGGAAACGGAAATCAAATTCGCTTAATGTCGTCCCTCAATCTTCATTTGGAAACAAAAATGCAAGTCTCGTTTTTAGCTTAAAAGCATCAAAATAGAAAATTAATTTGCATGCGTCGAATGAAAAAAATCGTTTCCAATTTCTCATTCAAACTTGATTGAATAAAACAAACAAATTCATAAATTTTGAAATGAGAACCGTGGCGAAGCGAACAAAGAAACTCAGAAAATCTTCCAACCGTGTCATTAAATTACAAAAAAAGAGAAACAGAACCAAAAATATTTCAACTTGAAAGGAGGAGAAATAACAACCAGAGGATAAAATAAAAGTATGAAGTGATCAGAGTTTTTATATTGTTATGTGAATTCTTTTTATACTTTTATTCAAATGTGAATTTGACTTCCGACACTTGCATTGAAATTGACATAATTTCATTTGAAATGAAGCGTATCATTTGCAAATTTCGGTGAAATAAAACAACTGGCACAGACAGGAAGTTGGAAGCTTTCTTAGTGCTACCGCCTGATTACTTCACTAGAATTTTTCATTATATCTTAGGTTCTAAAAGTTTATTATTTCGGCGTCTACTCGCAATGACGTATGCAGGACGAAATACAAGAAGAATGATGAAAGCATATTTTATCAAATATTAAATTAAAAAACATCAAAAAAAAATTCAATTAAGGTTTAGTGGAAACAACCGACGTGGCGTCATATGAACAACATTCACATGAAACAAAAAAAAACAGCAATGATGAACAAGAAAGCTGAATAATGAAATTTTTGTTTTGACTTCTCTCTCATCGCGATCTAAAAGACTGTGAAACGATTCAAAAACAAATACTAAATGTGATTAACTTTAATCTTCATGTAATTGAACATTAGAAACAGTGGGTGGCATCAGACGTTGAGAAGGAAAGCAGGCGGATAGAAAAACTCTTTTGCCAGTCACTGCCGAACGCCATATCAAGCGATGATCTTATTTAACAAATATTTATACAAGCGCACAGTGATTCTTAAGGCGATCGTAAGCTATGTTCATTATTCAACAACAAACAGATGAATTCTTTCATGATTTGTAGTTTTTAGTAAATGAAAGATTAATTTCAACGTCCGATATTCATCTTGAGGTCAGTGCGACGAGAGATTTAATAAAACGTTACAATCATCGAAAGTCGAGTTGTTTGATTTATTAATTTGACATATAATGCCAAAAAAAATCCCATTTTCAGCTTTTTACGATCTATATCGCAATAAAATTGAGTTTAAAGCGAATCCCGGGACGAGAAACGAAATTACATGTTACCCTTTCATCATATTGTTGCGCTTCAGAATGTGAATTAATCGTGGCACCAAATTAAATATCAGCGAAGCCGACTGAAGGGAAGCTGTGGAAGGAAAATGTTATTAAAACAACAACGAAGCCATCAAATCATGTAATTACGGTCAGAAATGATCCATGATTATATGGAGTTAAGATAATTTAATAAAGTTTCTTAGGACTCCGTAAAATGACTTCAATTTTCGCGTGATTGGATTATTTAATGCACATTTTGACTTGGTTTTTCTGGAGCATCAGAGAGCTTTGGAAACAAATAAATTTGATCAAAGTTCATGCCTCCTTCCAACACTTTTTGATATAATTTTTTTGAAAGGCATTTTCATAGAAATAAAATAAATTACGGTTAGAGCAAAAAAACAATATCACAGTTATGCGCAGTCCAGAGCCGTAACACAGACTCCCAAAACATGAGACAGCTCTAGGTTAACTGCGCTACCGCGACGTCCCCTATTAAATTTACGTAAATGACAAAAAGGTTATAAAAGTACTTTAAAATTAAAATTTTAGTTTCATCTAAATATTTATTTCTCTATATTATTTCGATAAATGAAGTAAATAACATTTTAAACATAATCTTTGAAGTACTTTTATTAATTAAAAAAAAGAAAAAAAAATAGAAAAAGTTTGGAGCTGGCGGGATTCGAACTCGCATTACCCACTTGGGAGGTGAGCGTTCTAACCATTAAACTACAACCCCGATTTCCTTCCTTAATTACAGTTGTGAAATAACTCATGCTGTTTGTTATCCGAATAAGGATTACAATTTAAACATAAATTTAATGTGAAATATAAACACATTAACTTTTGCCAATATATTTTGATGGATTAAAAATAACGCTTTGAATCATTCAACATTATTCATAATAAATTAATGATAAATATAATTGCAAAATTAAAGAAAAAGAAGTAAACTTATTCATAATTGGTAGAAAAATATTTAAAAAATGCCCAAGCTACATTTATGACCTTCAAGTGTTGAGTCGAATTTTCTGACGACTGTAATGCCGTGACTTCCGCATTAGTTTTCTATATGTGGAACTAAAAAAATTAATTAAATAATAAAAGAAAACCAAAATCAAAAAAGTTTGGAGCTGGCGGGATTCGAACCCGCATTACCCACTTGGGAGGTGAGCGTTCTAACCATTAAACTACAGCCCCGATTTCCACCCTTATGCGTAGGGTTGCAAATTATCACACGCATTGTCATTTAAAAAGACTTTATATGAAATAATCAAAGAAAATTCAATTGGGAACATAAATTTTAAAACTTTTTGCTACCATATTTTAAGGAACAAGCATTGAAACAAAATCATTATAAATTTTTAAATACTTTCGTAAGAGAGAAATAAAAAAGTTTGGAGCTGGCGGGATTCGAACTCGCATTACTCACTTGGGAGGTGAGCGTTCTAACCATTAAACTACAACCCCGATTTCCATCCTTATATAATGAGTTGCGAATTGTCAAACGGATTGTGATTCGAATTAGGTTCACAATTTAAACATAAATTTAATTTCGTAATATGAACACATAACTTTTGACAATATATTTTGATGAACATTCATTAGAAAAACGCTTTGAATCATTCATCTTCCTTCATAATAAATTAATATTTAATAAATATAATTGCAAAATTAAAGAAAAAGAAGTAAAATTATTCATAATTGGTATTGAAATATAAATAAATATGCTCAAGAGCTCTGCGCAGTCCAGAGCCAAACTATTGAGAGTTCATATTCCGTTGCATTCCTATGTTAATAGTATTATTCCTTGTACTTCACTTTACAAGTTATTATTTCCTCTTGGTAGAGTATATTCACTTTGAGAACCATACAATCTCGAAGTGTTCCAATGCAAAACACCAGTCGGTGTCAGTCAGGCTATTAGTGCACTGAAAGACTTTCATTGTTGCTTGGCAGATTGCTATCATATACAATCGCATATTCCAATACAAACTTATGACCTTCAAAGTGTTGAGTCGAAAATTCTGACGATTGTAATGCCGTGACTTTCGTATGAGTTTTCTATATGCGGAACTAAATAAAATAATATAATAAAAAAAAATAATCAAAAAATTTGGAGCTGGCGGGATTCGAACTCGCATTACTCAC